GGACAAAGTGATTACAATAATAAATAAAGAGAGAAAAGCAGTGTATTACAGAATTGTTTTTCTTCACAACCACAATTTAAAAATATTTTCATTTTTCTGTAAACTTTTCTTTTTCTCTTTAACTTCCTGTTTCTTCTTCTGAGAAATGGTTGACACATTTTACGTGTGACTCCATATTTCAAAAGGTTCAGTGTGTTTGCCTGAAGTCTCTTGGATTGTCAAAGTGTCTTTCTCATTAGTCATTGGTGGCCTTGGGTGGAAAGCCTCCACTCTGCACCAGGCCAAGTCTGTCTTTCTAGAGGGGGCCTTTCACCTCTGCGCTGGCAAGCATGTATCTGCAGGGAAAGCACTTGTCACATCCCAGGTGGCTGAGCATGTACTTCCAGGGAAATTAACCCTTGAGTGTGAATGGGTAGCCAGACTCTTAAATGGTGGGGACAGGTAACATGATAGGAAGTTAAGGGACAATCGGCAGTAATACCTTTGAGCATGGTTTCCTTACTGGGCCCCTAAGTCATTTCACAGGTGTTTCTGGACAGCATAATGTCCTGGGCCCAATGCTGGGCTCTGAGTCAATGAGGTGGTTAATACACATCTGACCCCTGCCCTCATGGGATGCTCTGTCATGCTGGAAACAACCAAGTGTCAAATACCATTTGGGAGGCGCATTGTGAAGGAAGTATCGGGGCATTTAGGGAAAACTCGCTAATCCCTAACCCATTATGGAATGGCCAAGCACCTGCCTGACAGCTGGAAATGAGAGTGTCAGTGAGACAGGGGTGGACCTCGTGTAAGTGCTCAGCACATGCAGAGTGGGTAAAGTCAGGTGGGGCAGGTTGGAATCCTGGCTCTGCCCCTTGCTAACTTCATACTTCTGCACCTCTTTGAACCACAGTTTCTTCACTTGTAAAACTGGAACCCAAATAGTAGGTTCCTCATAGGCTGATTGAAATCAAGATCACATAAATCTATATCTGTATCTGTATAGATATAGATATAGATATAGATATAGATAT